GTACGTTACGTACGTTACGTACTACGTACGTACGTACGTACGTACTACGTACTACTACTACTACTACTACTACTACTACTACTACTACTACTACACACACACACACACACACACACACACACACACACACACACACACACACACACACACATACCCTAATCAGAAGTAAGGCTAGGTTGTTTACTTGAAAAAGTAGTTCAAGCTACCCCAGTACCAAGAACTGGACAATTCCCAGTGGTTGTGACCAGCTGGATGGGTCTTGAGTTCTCCTTAAATTACAAGTTGGAAATGATTCATCCAGGAATATGCATATTTGTTTGTTTCTTCCTTACTGAGCAAGTTGACATACTGCTAAAGCCAGAGTTAATTTATGTGATCTTCTAACCCCCTGGAATATAAAAGGCAGTTGAACAGCGTGAACACCTTTGCAACATTTTAGCAAAAAGCAGAAAGTTCTGTTGGAGGAATTACATGTATTAGACAAAGAGTATGCACTGCTTTAGATACATGTTGTCTCTTACTCAGTTATGCTCACACTAGGCTCCCCCCCCCCCCAAAAAAAAAAGAAGTTGGAGAAACAATCCATAAGTGTTCTCTTTTTTTTTGTCACTATAATCTCAGAAAGGATCTGTCTTTGTAATTTCCTTCTTCACACTAGCCCCTCCACTCCCACCTTTTTGTGGGTTTCAAGCTGTTTGTTCTATAGAGAGGCAAGTAGTATAGTCTGAGGTTAATAGTTTTCTTACCTGAAAATGTATTCCAGATAGATATTCACCTCTCTGTTTTCTGGTATGTCTCTTTGTCACAACTATAATTAGCTTTTGGTTTACACAGAATGCTCAAGGGGAGTATATTATAAATAGAATATGTTGCACAGCTATTGGTGGAGGGATTATTGTCTAATGCTGATAATACCATATATTAGTTCAGGTCATGCTATTATGTGTAGGAAGAAGTATGTTCATAGGCTTGGCCTATGTGCATAAACTGTTGGTAGTCAGCATCAAGTCACTTGGTATTTGTTCTTGGGAGATGTAAGTATATATTTGTAAAAAAATTTTAGGTAAGGAAAATTTTAGCTTTATTTTAAGTACAGTAATACTTAATAGTAGGGATCGACAAGGATTAAAAATAATTCATGTGCTGAAAAACCACCTTATCAAATTCCTAAGCAAAAAACTGACCATTCAAAGTATTGGTTATGATGTATTATGCACATATATACTAATAATACGTTAAAAAGTCGCTTATTTTTACAGTATCACAATTCAAAAAATTTCTAAAACACCAGATTTTTCATCTACTACTTACCTACCTACCTACCTATATATTAATGGATATGCATGAGACAGTTTCTAAAGGTAAAGTATATATACTGTATACAGGTATAACATAGAAAATAAACAAACAGGAGTATTACACTTATGTGCAGGCCAAAGTAGGTATTAAATTTTATAAATATGTGATTGTGGTTTTAATTATTGTAAAAGTTATAGCTTTCAGGGATATGGCTATACTGTCAGTTTACAGATGTTGTGTCCATTCCATGGACATGTAAAAACTGAACAAATAAATAGGGGAAAAAAATTACAATTTTAATGGAAAGTAGGGATCCTTGGTTATTCATAGAATTGCTCTAAGAAGTATCCACAAGTACACAAATAAGTAAAGTGATACTAGTTGGATAAATTTTTAAATGACTTTCAATCCCTACTTTGGTTGGCACTGTGATCCATCTAGCTGTGACATATTCTAATGATGAGGCTAAACTAGAATACTTGAGGTTTCAACAGATGCTCTCTGGCTTAATCCTCTCGCTATGGATAGGTCAGAGTGTGAATGTCACCACAATTTTAGTTACATTGAAAATTTAATCAAATTACTTTATTCTCAAATTTTAATATTATATAAGTTTTAAGTTCATAATTTTATAAGGAAATATTTTTAAAAATCCTTAATCTCCCCTAAAAGGAGAATTGTGACATTTGTTCTTTAGGTCTTCTCACTTATCTAATTTATTTACTGCCCCTTTCTGAAGTACAGAATTTAATGCAAATTATTCATTATAATATAGATATTACTAAGACAAAGTTTAATTTTTATAGCCTTCAGTCTCATTTGTTTGTGGAGTCATCAAATGGAAAATCAGACCCACTTATTACACCACCAGTTACATCCTTTCTTTCACAAATTGCCAATAATTCTCTTTGACATTTTCTGATATATTATTTATAACCATTAAAAAGGCAAAGTTCCAAGATGATATGACACACTGCACACAATCAAGCTATCTTCCCTGCATGTCTGCCTTAGAGATTTACATGCTAATAGCCTTGAGGCAACTTCCACCTAATCTCATGTAATCTAATGTGAATTGCACTATTGCATGATGATGTAATCATGCGGCAAAGCCCTCTACCAATAGGAAAGTGACATGCCTCCATGCCTACTAACTCCCTCTATACATTTGCACTCATGAATCTTCATTCTTTTCCTTGGAACTGTATTGACCAGGCATGTTTAGAAATGTTTTTGTGTGTTCAGTTTCCTAAGATTTGCACCATCCACTTAACTTTGATTTTCATTTTATTTAGCTTTTGTTTCAAAATGCTTTAATTTTTATTGTGAATTCTCAAAGGATGGTCTTGAGTGTGTGACATTGTTCAAACTTGGGCCTTATTCTGTCTGTGGCTTTTGGAGACTTGTTGACTGTCAGGATTTTTTGCAGCCATTATGCAATGTATCGGGAATCAACATGTGCTTAATGGGCTTCCTACTCCTGTACTGTCTGCCAAACTTCATTCTCACCAGTCAGGAATAATCTATTAGTCTACCTCCTTCACCTGATTTACTTTGGATAGTACTTTACCATTTGTAAGATGACATTAACTTTACAATCTCTTTCTAGATTTCCTTCTCGGGTTTCTTCCTGTGCTTGTTTTTTATTACTTTGTTTCTCACCTTATCACCCACTATTTTTTTTGTATATCTTGTCATTTCTCTCATTATTAGGCTTGTGTTGTTTTCTTTTTCTAATGACTTTTTTTTTTCACAGCCAATTCTCGAGTGTTTCATCTTCTCCCTGTTCCCTTCCTTCCTTTGGCTACTGAGTTGGGGGGAGGGAGAGGTTTATCCAGGGATCTTTGTCCTTTCTCATACCCACTCAATGTTTGGTACTTTTGGATGTTTCTTTTTCTCTGATCTCAACTGAATTCAGCCCATCTTTTTCACCTGCAAACTATGACATATCTGGCCACCAGGTTTTCCACTTCTCATTCTCTTCCTACATTTTGCTTTTGGGAACTCTGGCTTTCCTAGAACTCCTTATCCCTTTGGAAAAAGTACTATTGTGTCTCCAACTATGGATCTTCTGGACCCGTGGGTTTTTTTTTCTTGGGATCCATTTTCCTTTTTGTGTTCATCTCCTCAGGGTATTGTTTTTTGAATGGACCATGCTCAGACTACGTCCTGCACTCTAACTGCCTCTCATACAGGATCTCTCCCTTCTTTGATGCTTTCTTCTCTGTTGAGGGCAGAACTTTGAACATTTCATTGCTGGTCCTGTTTTCTCTCCATATCCATGGTCTTGACCATCTCTCTAATCTTTGGGCATGTTCCCATTCCTGCCCATACTGGTGGACCACTTGGCCATGTTCCAATCAGTCTCTTTCATAGTGATTTCTTGCACACCAACCAAGAGGATCTTGTTCCAGGCTCAATGACATCAGGTTGATCTTTTTGCCTATCATTTGCCATGAGCTTATATCTTGATGATGGACCACCTCTCTTGGCTAGCTCATTCTATTGATGGAGTGGTCTCTACACCCCAGATCTTTCATGGAGTTTGATCTTGGTTGGTCATGTCCTTCTTAGATAAATTTACCACCCTTCACAACTCGAGGCTTCTTCCCTTATGGTCCAAGCCTTTCGCTCTGTCTGTTTATTTTCTCAGTCTGGCCTGATCACCCCATTTTCTATATGCCCATTTCCCCATTTGTCTTCTTCTTCTGGCTCTCATCTTCACATACTACTTTCCTTCATGAATCATAAATTTGGTGCTTCTTTGCCTAGCTCAGCCTTTGTCCACTTGCATTTGGACCCCCTTCCTTTATGCATACCTTCATCAAGGTTTATCTTCCCTCCTCTTCTTGGTACATAGAATGTGCCCAATCTGTCACTGTCTTTGCATCAGTCCTTTTGTCATTCTTCTGCTGCCTTTTTCAATCAGCGACTGTGACAAGTCTTTTTTTCATCAATTTTTCTGCCACCTTTTTCCTCCTAGCAGTTATTCTGTGACCACCTTCCATCCTTTTTCCTTGGCAGTTCAGCATTGGATTGTTGGCCTGCATCTCTACTAATTGTCAGAAGGCTTTGTCCTTTTTCCTTTCCTGGTACCATGAGGTGTTTATTCCCCTATCCTCTCCACTCTGTTATGCTCTTTCTTTCTTCTCCATCCTCTTCACTCTGCTCTCCTGACAGACTGAGACCTTAATGTGGTTTACATGTTCTGGTGCAGGCCCTATTCAAGCCCTTGACTTCCTGCCTTTTGTGCTGTCTTTTTTCTCCTGACTTGTTTCTTCCTTCTTCTCACCTGCTGTTATCACTGTTCAGATATCTACCCCATGGTTGCTTCTTGCACCCTCTTCTACTGTACTTTTATATCCCTCTCCATGGTCTGATCTTTCCTTCTCAGTCTTTAACTGCTCAGGAGATTGATTGCCTATACTTCTTTCTTATCTATCTTCCTTCTGTCTCTCACCTGTTGGACCATTCAGACCCGAATTAGCTCCTATGATCTGATGGACTGTTTGGTTTGTCTATTCATAGACCTACATTTTTCCCATGGACCCCTTTCCTTCTCTCCATAGTGCACTAGTACCATTAATATAAAAAAAGGTATACTTAAACTTTATCAGCAACTAACAGCAAAAAATGAGGTCAAAGGTAAATACTGCAATTTTTGTTTTTCATGTATATTCTTTATTTATTGTTATAAAAGTAGGCAAAATGTAAGAATAAGAAATGTATTAGGTTATATTAGGTAATATAATAAGAATTATTCATGAGGTATGCTTGTGTATTACATCGTTCAATACAGTAACGTGCGCTACACATTCACTGATTTACGACTTAGGCACTTTATTTAAGTAGAAAAAATATTTAGTGCACTTCTACCTTTAGTATAAAAAAGGTAAGCTTAAATTTCATTGGAAACCAACAGCTTGTTATTCAATATGGTAGCATGAGCTACACATTCACTGTGATTTACAACTTGTGTGGTGGGATTATTAGTTAGACATGGTTCAAAGGGCAATAAGATAATAAAATTAAGTATAAACAGATGTAGACTTTTATGAGCTTTAAGTTATTTAGGAGAAACATCTGTAGTTTTCTGTTATATTATAATCTACAATCATTCTAGAAAGAAGAAAAAAAGAGTAATTTAGATTTATTTTGTATTTTTTAATGGTGATTCAAGGTTGGTCAGATCCACAGAGTATACAGAGTTAGGGTAGAGAAAATAACAGAATATAAAGTTTTATCCAAAAAACGTTTGATACGTATACAGGAGGTTTTAGATATTATGCAAGTGAAATTTGAAAATTTCAAGATGAAGAAAAGTATTGGATATTAAAATGAAAATCACTTTACACTTGGAGCAGTCAACACTGACTCCATATAATGACAGAGAATTCTTTAGTAGAAATATGTAATTAAGAAATCAGATTTTTTGTTATAAAAACTTATAATGTTTAGTGCAAGCTTGCCAAATTTTTGAAGGTGCAACATATTTTAAGTTATAGTATGGAAACTGATGGTTTCTTTGTGATTATTAGGTTGGTCACAATGACCTATCCTGTATGAAAAAAGGTAAGCTATTGTAATAATCCAATTATTATTTTTGATCTTCCTTGAGAAAGACCTAAACCTGGGGCTTTATACACTAGAAGAGTGTTGTACCAAATGTACTAAAGGATTAATTTATTTTTGCTAGTAAGGTACTTATGTCAATTCCAATCACCATATTCTTACCTTCTTACAAATAAGGCTTGTCTTTGATCCTTATCCCAAAATCATGGGGACAACCACTAGTTGGGCGACACTTTTCATATGGTATTCACAGAAAAGAATAATTTAATTGAAATATCAGAACATTGATGTTCCTTGTCATATTGGATTATTTACGTGAAATTGTTTGGACATGGACATGCTTATAAGACTAACAGATTGTGTAAACAGCTTTGTATATGTAGTGTATATCTATTAATTTACATTAATATTGGTCTGCTTCTTTTTTTAAATGTCTGGTATTTTTAAAGGAAAGCCATACTATGAAATGTAGATAATGTATATTTTCCAGAGGCTTTTTTTTTGTGTTGGTATAGATAACACATCTGTACACAGTATCTCATATAAGATGCTGTTTCACTTTCTCATCTTATTTTAATGTTTTCAGCATTCAGAAGAATAAAAAAAAAATGTTGGCTTCCAAGGCTGGATAAAACAGAAGCAGAATTACAGATCTATGAAGAGATGGAGCATAAAAGAATTTGTGGGCCTTTGGAAACATAATTTTCCTGCCATTAAGAAATATGGAAAACAGTAATTCTTTTGACAGACCCAACATAACATTTTCTTGTGATCTTAGTGATTGTACGAGATTGTCACCTTCCCAGTACCCACTGGCTGAGAACAACAGTATTTGTTCCAATGAGGATCCAGGAAGTGGGATTCCCTTTTGGTACTTCAATGCAATTCCTACAGAAGAACCATGTTATAGGCCATCTAGTCGTAAACTCTGTGCTCAAGTCTCTACGTGCTTTGATCAAGAACATAACATATCACTGAGGAACTCCAAATTAATCTGTGATTCAAATTTTACTTCACACAGCACTAGTCAAAATGGTCATGACATTTCTGGACACTCATTACTTTATCAGGTTGAAGATGAGTCATTCACAGCAGTACCAAATTACCAGTTAGCAAGTGATGATTTTGATAAATCAAGAGAGGATGTCTTCAAAGGTAGCATAAGAAAAGAGCCAATGGGAAGTGAGAATAAAGACATTTCTTTGTCTGTGGTGACATCTTTACATTGCAGTAGTGAACTAAATGGTGAAAGTCATCAATTAGTTTCTTCTACCAATTCAGAGAAACCCGAGTGTGTAACATTACCAGTTAGCACCGTAAAAGCAAATGAACAAAGTCTTTGTCAGCAGGTAAAGAAGGATAGCATGAGTTTTCACCATCCATGGCCTCCCATAATAGGTCAGTCTTTTGATATTTCTTCAGGAGGTTGTTGTAATGAAAACAATGATTATTGCAAAGAAGGTTCTGAAAGCGAAGAAAGTAAACAATCATGGCTACAGAGTGAAAGTTCTGGAGAGGATCAGGATACATTGTCTCAGAGAGTGGAAGCTCTTCTTGGAGAAAAGATTATATATACACAAGATTCTGAAGAGTCTTGCCAACTGAAAGATTCTTCTAATGATAATTGGAATGAAAACAACCCACTACAAGAACAGACAAACTCTGATAAAATTGTAGCTGCCCAGGAGATGAATCAACATCAGAACAGAGATTTCTTCCTTTCTAATCAAATGAGTGTTAACAAAAGCGATAGTGAAATAAAAACTAATTATTCCAAGTCCAAACTGACGGATTTACCCATAAAAGCAAACGAAATAAAATTATTGAAAATAGATGCACCTTATTTTCCCAACTGTGATTTGCCATATTCAAATGACACAATTTTTCCTACAGTAAATTTAGGACAAAAGACTAGTAAGAAGAAACTTGAAGATGGTCATCAAAGTAATACTGACCTAGAAGAGAGAGGGCTTCTTGGTACTGGAGAGGAGAGAGTTTTGTCTCCTCTTTCTATGTGTAGTGCAACATCAAGTAGGCGCTTAGAATGGGACAGTGGGGCAGATATTGGGTACCCTGTATCTCCTACTTGTTGTAGGGCTGAGCCAGAAGGATATTCCTCTATTCTTACTGACAAAGTATTAGTAATAAATAAAAGAGAAAAGGGTATTCAAACTCTAATAAATGAGGACAATAGTTTAGAAGATACCTTCAGTGTGAGTGGAGAATCTGTGAGTTCAGAATGCATTTTAGAAAGCTTGTATGATAAACAGTGTTTCTCTAGTCCTTGTGACACTTCTCATAAACAAACAGAGAGGAAGCAGTTGATTGATAAAGTTCACCATATATTACAGTCATCTAGAGCAAAGAGGTTAACGGCTCAAGAAACAAACAATTTGTTAGGGAGAACACTAGTTTCAAGAACTGAGGATAATGTTAATGTATTAAAAAATCAAAACTGTGTTGCTGACAATGAACATAGTGATGATTGTTCTACACCTGACTGTTCAATATATAATGACTTAGAAATTTTGAAAATCACAAATTCTTTGTGCTCATTGAATGTGAGTGTAGGGGTTATATCCAGCAGAAAAGTAAGTAGCCAACCTCTTGTAACATGGATTTATACAAATCCATCAATAAACAGTCCTCAGGTTTCTGTAACACATAACACTGCACCATTAAGTTGCATCAAAGACCTGTTTGGGGGGGAAACAAAGGAAACATCAGTGGTTGAAGAAACCAATTATCAACTGTGTGATGGTAAATTTATTAGAGGTAATGACACTAACTGTAATGACAAATCATATTTTTCCAATAGGGTATCAGTTTGCCATGACAATTGTGCTATGGGAACTTTATGTCATAGTAGTCAGACTAATTTGAGTTCTGTTGTTGGATGCAATAATAAAGAAACCCAAGATATTCAGCAGAATGAGGAAAGTAAAGATTTTCAAATTCACACAGACCCAGCTGGAAAGATAAACCTTTCAGAAGTTCAAGTCAAGGATATATCTGATTACAATGTACAAACCTGTAATGAGTCTCAGTGGGAGAACACTCAAAATACTTTTGTCAGAAACAAGACAAATGAAAACTCTGTTTCTGTACACAGTATTTTTTCACATTATGTAAAACCTGCTGTTCAGGATTTTAATCAAAGTCCAGGTATTGATAAAAGTAATTTATGGGTTATGATTGAAAAAGGTGAGAATCAACAAAAGAATTTACCTGTAAATCATATTAGCAAAAGACTGGTAAATAAAAGTATGACTGATCAAGAAAACCAGCTAAAAGAAGTTGTAAACATTGATAAACAAAATGTTGAAAATAGGAGAGCATTTCGGTCATTTCCATATAACAAAAATTTTAGTCAAGAAGAGCATTTTACTAATTCACATTGCTTAGAAAACATTGGTAGAGAACAGTTATTCAAATTCAATGACAGTAAAGCACAAGATATAAAAACAGGCTATCAAGAAATTCATTTAGCACCAATTAACAGCAGTGCCTTATTAATTTTGGAGAATTCTAAGTACTTACATTCAGATCTAAAGAAAAAGGATTCTCAAGGCTTTGAGAGAGATGCTGAAAAGTCATCATTTGCTTGTGAAACTCTCATTAGTAGTCATCTTCCTGATTTGATGAAACCTAATGTTTCTGAAGCACAAACATCTAAACTATTTCAAGTAATAAAGACTGATACAACTATGTCAGAAGGGTCATACTGTGCTACAGAGGTAGGAACCAGAATAAAGTCACCTTTAAAATACAGTTCACAATTGCCTTCTGTAGAAAAAAACTCGGGTGTTTTCTATCCTGTGGGAACCCCAGCTGATCAACATAAAATTAAAGATGCTTCTTTACTCTCAAATTCCCACACCTTTGATCCTGATAAGGACAGTAACTCAACAGATAAACATGTTTCTGCATTCTCAACAAAGTTTGCTAACACTAAACAGCATTTTAAACTTCCTTCTGTTCAATGTGTTAGTAAACATGACCAGTGCTTTTCCCAGTGCAGAATCATCCCTATTGAAAGTAATCAACACTCTGTGCAAGAAATATTAAAAGACATATCTTCCTCTGCAAACCATGCTGTTACCAAAGAGAGCAAGTCTTATGCTACTTTCAGTGAATGTGCTAATGCAAATGTGGGACATCAGGATAATCACAAAGAATTGTCAAATGAAATACATGTTCCAAGTTTTGAAACATGGATGCATCCTTCAACAGTAAGTATGAATACACATCAAAGATCTCCCGAGTCAATAAATACTGATCTGAATAAAAATCATCAAAAAATTCTTGCTACTTTCAAGACTGATAAAGAAGCTGTTTCTGAAACATGTCAAGTATGTGGATTCAAGTCTAGATCAATAATACATCGACAAAAGCAACTTCCAAACAGACTTTCCACTGAACAATCTCATGAAATGTGTATATCATATACACCTTTGTATCTACAATCAGCAAGTCAGGAATCTGTGTTATCATCAAAGCCAAAATGCAGAAGCTGCATCTCTACTGTTACAGACACTTCACTTACAGATGACCCCACAATAATATCTGAGAAGCTACAAAAGAAATTCAGCTGTAAACAGTAAGTTACTGTTTTATTTGTTGATAAGCAGATAATTTGAATGATTACTGCATGTAACCTTGCTGAAAAATTAATCTCAAGTATAATAATATGATAAGAGAAAGTTAAAACACAGTGCATATGAATTTATATCATGCCTGGATGGGTACATCCCATTCTGAAGGAAAAATTGCACAATTGAATTAAGAAAAATACAGAAAATGAACTTGTAGTCATTCTTACACACATTAAAAAACAAGAACTTCAGACTTGAAATTTATTCAATAAAAAAAGTTGTATTTACTTAATTTTACAATAAAAAGAAATAAGATATTTCAAACTTTAGTTTTGGTTGATTTCAGCAGGCTTACAATGAAAACATTAGTGTTTGTGAATTTCTTGAATTTTCCTGAGCATTACACAGCACTCGTAGCCCTCTAGGAGAAAAGTCTAAATACATTTTAACTAAAATAGTATCAGTTTGAACCTTATAACTCCAACATAAGTGTACTTTTTTTTTTTATTCTAGTCAGTCACTGTTTCTTAGTTTTGATTGTTAAGGTAATTGCCTATATCTCAGCTTTGAGAAGCCATAGGCAAGTGATCTAAACTTGTAATGAAAGCTCTTTTCAACTGTGTAGGCTGAGGTAACTTCCAATTCAACAGATTCACACACAGATTGGAACAAAGTGATAAAAAGTTAATTTGGTGATATGTTGCTGGAAGAAAATATGTTTATGAACAACAACTGCCACAGTTACAATACTGACTTATTTAAAGCTTGCAATAAAGATTGTTTTATCATTTTATATTTCATTTGAATTATGATGTTTACAGTATGATAGAAAAATAAGTATTTTCCTGAACAAGGTGACATAGGCTTAGTTAGATCATTTTGTGCTCCATCTTATCAAGGCTATGTTTACATTAGGTTTTATTGGTATAAGTAAGTATTTGAATGAGATAATGAAATCCCCAAAAAAGAAGTATAAATGATACACATCATGTTTATAAATGAATGTATAATAGGTTTAAACTTGTGTTTATTAAATGAAAACTTCTGGTTAATAATTGAAAAGTCAGATTGCTCATGGTTTAGGTATAGTAGAAAAAAAAAAAATTTATTGTATACTAGTGATCATAAACACAGTGAAACTGTGTGCTTTTTTTCAAATAAAACAAATATCAAATTTAAAGTTTTATAAGAAGGTTGAATGACATAAAAATCAGTAATTGAAATCTACAACAAAGTTAAACATTTTTTTCATGTATTATAATGAAATCTTTTGAAATTTTCAAAGATTTGAATTCATACAAATACCTCACTAAAAAATTAAATATTTTCATCACTTACATAATCTGTAGGAAGTTCTGAAGTTTCAAGTTATTTCATCCAGTAATTTTTCGTGCAATGCAAAAAAATAAACCATTGAATGAGTGTATTGAATTGATGCATCCAGGCATTTTAGAGTTAAGATAATTGAGTTTCGTGAGGAATAAACATACATAATATTATGGCTTATCTCTTTACTAAAAATTGTTTCAAACTTATATACCATGTTATAAGTTCATAAAGATATGGATAACTAATTAAACAATTGCCTTAATACTGTATACATTAACTCTTTATAAACCTGAGTGGATGTGATTTACCTATTGGACAGCATATGATAACATTTATGTCTTTTTGGCTAAAATTAATCCAAATCATGTTATTATCCACCTTTTATAAATAGACCGGAAATTTTATAAGGTATGATGATGAATAATTCAGGCAGAATCTGCAAAAAATTACGGGTTTAAAGAGTTATGTGGAACTGAATGTGCTAAAGTATTTGCTCACTGTTGCACATAAAACCAGTTGGTCACTACTGTTGGACTACTATGTTCATAAACAGTACTTGCCTTTTGCAGAACAAAGAGTTATTACCTTGCACTTCTGCCAAGAAGATTTTTTTTTCATGCCACAAGCCTTTAATGAAACTCCCACCTCTGTATATATTAACGTGTACTGTGCCTGCCTGCAATGTAATCATCATGGGCATTGGCATTACAACAAAGGCTCATTCTTGGCATTGCTTTATTTCAATGTATTTTTTCTTAATAATTAACAAAATTTTGGGGCTTTTACTTTTAAACTTTCATTGTCATTTTTATAGTAGTCTTTCTACTCTTTATTTTCTTGATTATGAGAAAGAAAAATACAAAATTTTAAACATTTAGTTTGAACTTTGATTCAAATTATCTTAAACTTGATTTTTACCTATTAAATTAATTTGTAATTTTAGGACACATGTTCCAATGTCTGTGATAAGATTTCTTTGATAGTACTGTTTCTGTTGTTTTAACACAGCATACAGGTATTGCTATATCCTCTTTCATTTCATCATTACAACAGTGACCTAGGTCTTTGTATCTTAGATATACCAAGCCATTTTTACAAAGAACAAACAAACCATTAGATGGTTTCTCAGATCATCTCAATTATGAATTCATATTTCCACATACCTAACATTTTTCAGATTTCTGACACTCCTTAGCAGTAGTCATCCATTACTGTAATGGCAGTTGGAGGCAATCTGATAGTCAGTTATGCTATAGTTATTATTCAACAGATAGTTGTTCAGGTGGTTAGGGCGCTCGACTTGCAATCTGCGGGTCGCGGGTTTGAATCACAGTCCCACCAAACATCTTTATTTTTTTCTTTGGGTCCTTCCATGTTTTTGCCCTTTTTGGCAACACATTACTAAAGGGCATAAGAGTATACCTAGCTCAGAAGTGGTGCAGTCTCCTATGGGTGTGTTGTTTTTAATTCCTTCTTACACCCCATGGCTTTCCTTTGGGTGCCTTCTAAATGGGGATCATCTTCTCACTGGCCTTCCATCAATTCATTATGGGATTCTAGCTTTTTGTGAGAGGAAGTAAGATATCATATTGGAAGTTAACATTTTCCTAAACGGAAAATGTATTTCCAATAGATACTTACCTCCCTCACATTTCCCACCTGTTCTTCCCACTTCAAGTGTGGTTTGGTGTGATCTAATCAGTCTTGAAGTGGTTAACAGCTGCATGATTAGAGAGAGAGAGAGCTATTGGTGAAGGGTTGGTGCATAATATTTTGCATGTTAGTATGCAGAAATAAGTGGGAGTATCGAGACTAGCGGTGAACAAAAATTTGCACCAATAGAGGACAGTACAAGTCAAAAAAGCTATTTGTGAGAGGAGGTAAGTATCTATCGGAAATCCGTTTTTCACTTTAGGAAAATGTTAACATTAATATTGTAATATGTAATGATATTTAAAAAACTATAGATTTGATAGAAAGGATGCCTGTTTCCAGACTTTTATTAAAACATTATTGCCTATACAGTTGTATAATGTGCATTTTCACTTATTTTAGATATCAACAATACAAAAACAAACATGTTGTGCTTGAAATACTATTATTATACTCTTCCAATTCTTGAACAAGGGACAAGATTAAGAATCTTGTGTTAAAAATTATAACAGTCCTATCATAATGTCTTGTGACAAGTGTAATTAATTATAATCATGCTTTTCCAGCCTTCTAAAAGGTGTTCAAATATAAAAATACAAAGAACATCTTTATTGTGATAATTATAACTTCTAAATGATGAAACATATATTCTGTAACAAGTCTATAAGAGTTGGAGGTGTCCAAAACTAGCTTTAATAAACACAAACCTTTTTAAAGTCTAGACACATTGTTAGCATGTTTAGAAAAAGCCAAGGCATGAAGATTTACCATGGCAATGCATAATTGATGTTTATTATGTTGTATTTGCTTAGAAATAATTAATTATTGGCTGAGGCCTTAACTTGGTTACTGAAGACTAGAGCTTTGTTGATTTCAGAAAATCTCAGAAAAGCTGTTATGGTAATTAACAGTTCATTCAAATTAAAACTGTCACCTATTGTTTGTTTTTGATACTATACAGTAATGTAAAGACATTTGACTGTTTTGTTCTATCAATTTGGGGGAAAAAATGGATGGGGGGGTCCAGACCTCTGGATCCCTCCCCTAGACCTGTGCCTGCTTATATAACATTCAAGAATACAGTTATGCAGCTATAACTTATAAACATAAAACAGAATGAAAAAAAAAAAGAAGTAAATTTGCATTTTATTTAAAACTAAGAAGTTCAAGAGTTGGCAATGAGTTCTGCTATCCAGTTGCCTTCTCTTTAGTCATCAATGGTAATGGAAAAAACTTAATATCTTTGTAATAATAAAGACAAAGTGAGGAAGTTTAGTGGTAATTGAATCAACCCAATACCATAAAATCATGAGGCACCCCACTATTATGTAGCTTTATGCTTAACAATAAACAAACTTATTGGCAATATTTTGATACTTGGATAGTTGGAATATTTAAAAACTCTTATTTAGATTAATTGATTGTTTTTGTGGCAATTGATTTAATTGTAATTTCATTAAATTGATTATAAGAGTAATCAGAAACATTGATTTTATATTGGTTGTGTAATTTTGTGAGATTAATCTGTTAATCATAATTTCAGTTAATTCGTTAGTTTATGAGAAACCATTTGGGTTAATCTCTGCTCATAGGTAATCAGTTAAGTTGCCCAGCTATCTTTCACACTTGCTTTTGGTTCCCTCTTATTGATAAGGATCAGGTTATCCCACATTTGTTTTTTGCTTCTTGGATTACACAGGCATGGTACTTTTGATTTCTCTCTTTCCAGTTATTTTTTACTGTATCTTGAGCTACTTGTTGCATCTCAATCACTTGAGCCTCTTTTTCTCTCTCTGTATCCATGTGCTTGTCTTCATTTCTTAATTACTCAACTTCTTTGTTATCTGTTCACACTTCATTTTATTTTAGAAACTACATTATGACCCTGTCAACTTTACCGAGGAAACATTCACATATCTGTTTTACACCTTGCCCTTGGTTGTTTTCTTTTGTTGTTATCCAGTTAATGTAATTTCTTTGTTTCAGAATGTCAGGTTTTTATAGGGTCGTTATTCTTTACAGT